CACACAGTAACACACAGTAACACACACACAGTAACACACACACACACAGTAACACACACACACACAGTAACACACACACAGTAACACACACACACAGTAACACACACAGTAAACACACACACACAGTAACACACACAGTAACACACACACAGTAACACACACACAGTAACACACACACAGTAACACACACTAACACACACAGTAACACACACAGTAACACACACACACAGTAACACACACACAGTAACACACATGTGCTATTAGCTCTTACTAGTATTTATTGCTGCTCTCACTAGGATGTCAGATGAGTACATGTAAATGTAATGTATCAGCTGATAAATGACTTACTTACAGTTAGCCACGCCCACAACCCCGCCCGTTCTGAGGACGGACAGGTAATTTAATTTGCTGAACAGATATATATGTTGATGTACTCGCTCATCTCTATTAATTGGGGTGGTGGTGGGGCAGTGTATACACTATACAGTGACGTATTAGTACTTTTACTCAAGCACAGGATCTGAATACTTTATCAACCACTGGGACATCACATTACCGGTCCAAAGTTTTAGAACAGCGCCATGTTTGTAGTTTTTCTGTAAATACATGTAGTTCAAGTCCAGAAAATGTACAAAGGTTAAAACATTTTCAGCTGCTCTGTCTGCCTGCATTAATATCAGATAGAATATATAGAACCAAATGAAGCTTCTGAGGGTGAATTAACAGGCTGTTCCAAGGTGTTTTCATTTCCTTCCTCTGCTGCACAATAACCACAGAAGGTAAAGTTTAGCTCAGTATTTCAGGGATCAATAATGAGTTAACACCTTGCAGTTATTCTGCAGCAGCTCTCTCTCTGAGCTCAGACTCTGAGGTCGCTTCAGGTTCAAACACACAGAGACTCGTTTAAAAATCAGCTGGAATCAAATCCGATTAGAAAAATAGAAAATGTAAAACATATATATTATTTACAGTATATCTGAGCTGGATTTTCTTTTCTTCTGTATGATGATGAGTCTGGTGGAAACATCGGCAGAGAGCAGCGGGTTCGGGTCACAGTGTCGGCTTCTGAGCGGTTACAAGGTTCAGTCCGACCTCAGAACTGATCCAGAAATTCCTGACTGGATCAGAGTTTGCTGAGTCAGCAGCTTTAACAGCAAACCACAGTTTGGTCTTTTAATGTGAAAAACAGAACAGGAAGTTTGACTCTCCTCTGTCCGCAGCTCCACGGCGCCACCTGCTGTCTGTCAGGTGTGTCTTCACCTGTCACCCCCTGTGATGAGGCTCTGCTGCCCCCACTGGTTCAGACACTGTTACTGCACTGAGTACTGCACTGAGTACTGCACTGTTACTGCACTGAATACTGCACTGTTACTGCACTGTTACTGCACTGAGTACTGCACTGAGTACTGCACTGTTACTGCACTGTTACTGCACTGAGTACTGCACTGAGTACTGCACTGAGTACTGCACTGAATACTGCACTGTGAGTACTGCACTGTGAGTACTGCACTGTGAGTACTGCACTGAGTACTGCACTGAGTACTGCACTGAGTACTGCACTGAGTACTGCACTGTTACTGCACTGTTACTGCACTGAGTACTGCACTGAGTACTGCACTGTTACTGCACTGTTACTGCACTGAGTACTGCACTGAGTACTGCACTGAGTACTGCACTGAGTACTGCACTGTGAGTACTGCACTGTGAGTACTGCACTGTGAGTACTGCACTGTGAGTACTGCACTGTGAGTACTGCACTGAGTACTGCACTGAGTACTGCACTGTGAGTACTGCACTGTGAGTACTGCACTGAGTACTGCACTGTGAGTACTGCACTGTGAGTACTGCACTGAGTACTGCACTGTGAGTACTGCACTGTGAGTACTGCACTGAGTACTGCACTGTGAGTACTGCACTGTTACTGCACTGTTACTGCACTGAGTACTGCACTGAGTACTGCACTGAGTACTGCACTGTTACTGCACTGAATACTGCACTGTTACTGCACTGTTACTGCACTGAGTACTGCACTGAGTACTGCACTGTTACTGCACTGTTACTGCACTGTTACTGCACTGAGTACTGCACTGAGTACTGCACTGTGAGTACTGCACTGTGAGTACTGCACTGTGAGTACTGCACTGTGAGTACTGCACTGAGTACTGCACTGAGTACTGCACTGTGAGTACTGCACTGTGAGTACTGCACTGTGAGTACTGCACTGTTACTGCACTGAATACTGCACTGTGAGTACTGCACTGTGAGTACTGCACTGTGAGTACTGCACTGAGTACTGCACTGTGAGTACTGCACTGAGTACTGCACTGTGAGTACTGCACTGTGAGTACTGCACTGTGAGTACTGCACTGAGTACTGCACTGTGAGTACTGCACTGTGAGTACTGCACTCCGAGTACTGCACTGTGAGTACTGCACTGAGTACTGCACTGAGTACTGCTCTGATACTGCACTGTGAGTACTGCACTGTGAGTACTGCACTGAGTACTGCACTGTTACTGCACTGTTACTGCACTGTGAGTACTGCACTGTGAGTACTGCACTGAGTACTGCACTGAGTACTGCACTGAGTACTGCACTGTGAGTACTGCACTGTGAGTACTGCACTGTGAGTACTGCACTGAGTACTGCACTGTGAGTACTGCACTGTGAGTACTGCACTCCGAGTACTGCACTGTGAGTACTGCACTGAGTGCTGCACTGAGTACTGCTCTGATACTGCACT